CAGCCCCGCCCCTCACCTCCAGTCGACCGCTACTTTCGGGCCACCCATTTTTTTGCCAATAAAATGGAAAATTGCCCATAGTCCATTCAGCCGTTGCACAGACTTTCTTGGCCTCATTTTCTTGGTATGTGAATGAAATAAGCGGGCCGGGGTTTGGATATTTAAAAGAAATTTATGTCTAAATTAGGTTAGTTTTGGCAATTCTAATAGGCATATTATGTTATGACACGAGCAGATAACAGTCTGTGGGTGTCACATCGTCTGTTCGTTTTACAAGATTTATGTCGACAATATTTTAACGACGATTCAATCGCTGGCTGGTTTACAATGGCATCTACCCGGCATTCTTATACGGTGCTCGGGCGACGGATTGGGGTTTTGCGGCCGTGCCGTTCCTCGAAGCATTTATGATTAGTAAAATAGCGCATGTGCCAGCTGGCCAAGCGAGCACACGATGAGCAGGGAGGTCTGGATCTGGTACGGAGGTTTGTGCGCATGAACCTTCGGCGTCGCGCCGTGTGAGAGGCAGCGACTTTCCGCACCATTGGGCCGTCCTTCCACGCCCTCGTACTCTTCCAACCCAGACCAATTATCGTTTTACCATGACCAAAGGTCTCTCAACTTCTAGCTCGTGATTCACTTTCGTCTCACTCGTTCGACGTTGGGGTGATGTCTAGGTCAATTAGTGGCTAGTACCACATGAGGCCTCCAATATATACAAGGATGCAATTTCTCGATGTAGCTCGCAGCGACCCATGCCGAGAAGACAACCACGGCGCGTACAGGAGGATCTATATCGAATACTCAGGTGAGAGTTTGGTCGGATCGCATATATCAGAGCAGCTGTTCGCGCCGTGTGAGAGCAGTTTTATCTTCACCGGCCGGGCTCCTTGCTCCCTGCACGCCATCAATCAGCGGCGTCTCTCGACGCTCATTCGCGCTGCAGGCGACTTTGGATCTGCACGCGGCCTCCAGTTAGGCAGAAGCGGCAATGATTGTCCCAGACCTTGCAGAGCAAACGGTGTGGTAACAGGGAGTCTGTCTTGCGATGTCGCGCGTTGGCCGGTCTGCGTGCCTTGGAAGCAGCATCCGCACTCAATTCGCCTCCTCAGCCTTACTCAACCGCCATCATCAGGGCGTCTCCCCGTCTTCGTACATGGCCAAGTTGTGCATGCTTAGCCTGCCAGATTTGCATGCCAGCGAAGATGTCCAGCCGGGAATAGCAAGCCTCGGCTATCAGCGCGATCGACCCATCTTCTCCTCGCGTTTGATATCAATCGAGTCGCCATAGCCGCGTACGAAGCAGATCCAGGATGCCGCCGCGTCCCCCGCCACCGTCTTGCGTGCAGCATCGTTCTGCGTCCGGTAACAGCGTTTGCGAAACGTTGCTACGCATTGTCTAGCAGCACAACTACACAACATTCACGCTGGCTGTTACGCAGGCGAGCATAAGGAAGCGTGTGCCGCAGCGCGCATCCCACTCTGCGCGGGCGCGTCATGCCAGCAAACTGTTTTTCACAACTCTCCATCTTCTCTTCCGTTTCTGGCCCCGCGAAAAGTGCGCATGCGACATGGAGAGGCGTCTACATGCGTAACTTCACGAGCATCAGATGGTTTTCGTTCCACCTTCGCAGAATTCTAACACTTGCGTCCAAGGTCCCCACGTGAACAGCAGCAATATTGGCACACGTCAACAAAACGTCCAACTTTCCACAATACCTCACGCGTGACCGTATCACGAACCGCCACTTCACTGTGGTTCCCGTTGCTGAAACTAAAATTGAAATAAGAGAGTTATCATGTAGCATCTCCACAAAAAACCCTACCAACTAATAAAATACAGTCACCTGAGAACTTATACACAGTAAGATAGTATTGCTTATTGAAATTAGTATGATGTCGCAGTGCTATATTAAGGGTTGATATTACCATTGACGCTGTGGGCACTGAGAATGATGGAATTCAGCGTACAAGCCCTCTTTCAATTCTAAATAGGGGAGAGACATGGAAAGTAAAACGTTCGCACATCTTTTTTTATTCTCGTATTTCTGTAATATGTTGCATGTGTATTCATAGGATCTCGCAGCGGGAAGTAATAGAGCTTTCTAGTTTTTTCTAATTGGCATCATAAGGGCTGAAAAGTCCAAAGCTAAGGCCAGGAACAAACTCCGGAAATGGAACAAATAAGAGTGATTAAGCCTGGAGGATTGCCAAAGCAGACCACATCCACTGCGTTGCCTGCTAGCTCCACTCAGTCTCGATGCTTGGCCAAAAGCCTCAGATGTATCTACGCTAACTCCCCTCGTTAGTATTCTAAAGCTGCGCTGTTGAGACACGTCGTAAAGGGTTGGTAAGTAATGCAACAAAAATTTAAAATCTCGCCCTCCCAGCCCTGTGCCACTAGAAATAAACGGATCTATATGTTTTTTGGTAAACACGGATTTTACAAATAAACGTGAAAATTAGTCGTGAGAACAGAGGTAGAAAAAACTTTTTGGCTTAAAGACTAGCAAGAAGTGGTGTATCCATATGGAATCTAATTCTGAGACTCACAGTGTCACTACTCATTAGTGTCAAGTGTAAATAGATCTAACAATTTATATAAAACACGCCGGCAATGACGATCGCCATCTAGTCAGCTAAAATCACTCAATATCTCACAGTGACGAGACTAGTGCTCTAAATACTTGTCGTGTCTGCATAACCTCATATCACTTAACCGTGTATGAAAAAAAATACTGAAATCTCCAAATTTCAGTGTTTGGTCCATTTCTTATGAAACTCATGCTCGGTGACTTTTGTCTAAAAAGAGGCGGATTAATATAAGGCCAGAATGACTAATACACCCGTGTGCTAATCCAATGTTCTTTAACCACAAATCCCTTACGAATCCCAGCCTCAAATTGTTGCAATGACAGTAAACATCTTCTCGGTCCTAGTGCGAAACCTGTCACCTTAAAAATGATCAAAAAAGCTCTGTGTGATCATTGATGGGTGTAGCATAAGGGGATTTTCAGTAGCGGCACAGTGTTGCGTATTTCTTACAACCGTGGTCTAAAGTCACAGCTGCTCGGCGCATATGAGCGATGCTAAATCTAGTGAGAATAGCGTAATCCCTTCAATCGTACAGCGTACAGGTCGCACATCGGAAGCTCCACTTTTAGGCAGTGGCCTAATCTGAATATTATAGCAAACGCTTTTAGATGGCGATTGCATATTTAGGTGCTAACGGCCATCACTCGGCCAATCTACAGACTTTCATGCATCTGCAAACAAGTTTATTATATCTAAGAACATAAAAATTTCAATACGTTTAATCTCACTCCAATAGTTATTTTTAGCTTGCCTAGAAAGATAATTATTAATTTACCATAATAGCGTCATGTGTAGTGTTATCGTACTAAACTGGCAGTTTTCAACAATAATCGTACATTCACTACTCTAAAATGATATTAACACACTACATATTTCTCTGGCTCAACAACTTGTTCTTGTAGGTCCTTATCATTGTGACGTTGTGCTGACCTACAGTGCTAAAAATTGACCACTTTTCCAAATTAACGTATTGTCGGGTATGAATATATTAGCTTTGCGCGTTGAGCAAGACAATTTTAAGGACTGTTGTAGGTGCGCCAGATTTTTAAAGCCCGCATAAAAAACGGATTGTCGCATTCAGCCATATCTTTCCTTAAAAGATATGAGCGTTTAATTTAAAAGTTAACAAAACTGACGAACAGGTATAGGTTGAAATATGGTAACGGAAGCTTGAGACTTCTCATTGTTGTGCATAAAAGTTAAGGTTGATTTCATGCATCTCAAACACCTAAAGACTAAAAATTACCTCGCTTAAACATGATTTATTGTCTAAGGGGCAGTTTACCTTGGAGGAGAATATATATAAGCAGTGTAGATGCGGCATTATTGTTTGCTTATTAATGTTTAAGTGAGACACGGATCACGTTAGTTCAGTACTGTGGTAGGTAAAGCTAATATGTAACGCTTGGCTTACGAGTACGCAGCCTATCTTACCGTCTCGAGCCTGGAGGTAGCGCCTCTATCTCGCTTTCATTACTTTAATAGAACAATAGATGGCGCGCGGTGGCCACCTAGATTTCGAATAACCTCTTGGAAATAAATCAACGATTTGAGAGTTTAGGATGAAGCGGGCTAGAACCTAACCTTAATCCCTAACCTAACGCAAAAAGGGCTTAACGAACGACGTGCTGCTTGTACCTGCCACAAACTTGCAAAAATAGTAAACGAGTTTTAGTTGGTGTAGGGACGACATTCCACGTGTCAGCTAGTTAAATTACCACCAATAGCTTATCTTTTTAATTTATGTCATTTAATGCTGAACCCTTTAGGCTAATAAACCAGTCTATCTGCAAATAACAAATTAGCAATTAAATGAAAGTGTCAATGACACTTAGCACACAACAAAAAAGGACAAAAATGAGTGATGAGAAAAAGTCAATTTTAATTGAGGGCAACATCGCGTACATTATATAACTCTTGATAATTATATGTGTAATTTTTTTATGTGAAAAATAAATGTTTGAGATGTGAAAGGTCTGAGATGTGGGCGAGTGATGGCTTAGACTAAATGATCGCTCATCCTAACGTTTTTATAATATTCAGAATTTAGGCACTGCCTAAAAGTGGAGCTCCCGATGTTGTAACGTGTACGATTGAGAGGATACGCTTATTCCACTAGCTGCTATAATACCACGTGATAATTGTGTTTCCCTTCCCAATAACACAACTTTTGTCAAAGGTTAATTGGTTGCATGGAATGTTTAAGCTTCGTAATAGTTATTTCTAGTGGTAGGTACGCACACGGTTGGCCATCTGTAAAAAGAAAAAAAAAACAAAAAAAAAAACAAAAAAAAAAAAAAAAAAAAAAAAAAAAAAAAAAAAAAAAAAAAAAAAAAAAAAAAATCGCAATATAATTTATAAACTAAAATGAATCACGATTTTGTGACGGTAAGATGGTGCTATATACGCCGTTGATGTTTCATTAGGCGATGCGTCTCAGAAATAAATAGTTAATCTGCTTACGACATTGTTTGTAAACTTTACTCTAATATAACTTTATTGCAGGTGGGAGGAATACAAATTTTGGCATAGACGCACTCTAACACGTTCAACGCGAAACACGAGTATACTCGTTCGAACCTGCAAAACGCACGGCCGCGAAACACGAGTATACTCTTTTTTAAAAATTTGGAACGTTTACTATGTTCTCCTATAGATGGCAGGGGCTATACGCTTAGCAATTCAACAGCGTCATTGTATAAACCCCAGTAGTAGATGACATAATTTAAACAATACTTTACTGTTGTTTGGAACGTTATTTTGGGAGTTTTTGGGACTGAGGTAATGTTTTTAGTTCACCTCGCCAAAGGGCGTTTGACCGCCGTGTTTTGTGAAGGGCGTTTGACCGCCGTGTTTTGTGAAGTTGTTTTTATGTCTGAAAGTTGCGTTTGATTTGATACATCACCTGTGATAGATTCCGGTGTTGTTTCGATGTCTGAGAGTAAGTTTATATCTATATTGTACTAGCCACTAATTATAAATAATTTTATAGCTATAGTTAAACCTGCCAAAAACATTTTGTGTAATAGGTAACTAAGCGGTAAAAACGCGAAAATCTCAGCACAGGGCGGTAGATGCATTGTTAACCCAGGCAGCGTTGAACGTGTTAATAGTCTTTGATGTTACATATACAGCAGTTCACAATACTACAACTATCTTAAAATGTAAACGACTATATATAATAGACCCGGGACAAACAATTCCTTGCTCAACACCCTGTAGCAACATGTGACGTCACCAAACCAAGTCGAGGCTATGTTGTTTGGCAAACAATTTAGCGTTGGCGCCAGATTACCTGATTTCGCACCTCTTTCTTGTTGGTTTTAAGCAAACGCGCAGTCAAATGGGAGGAACTAGAGTTTATTTTGTCATAAGGTAGTGTGATTATGCATGCCACGAAGTATTTGCTAGTCTAGTACTGGAGAAATTAGCGTTTGGATGCGCATTGTGAGGCTTTAAGTGTTCAGGCAGTAAACCAGCAAGCGGGTTGCTCTAAAACTCTCTGTACCTTCTTATCCAGCTGTTCATACTTGGCGTCGGCCGACGCGTTGTTGCTCAGACCCGGCGGTGTCACCGGGCTCGTCTGAGTACTTGGGTCAACAGGTCTTACAAGCTCTGACATTTGCGACTGTAGGTCACTCTTCCAATTTCGCAGCTCCTTGACCTGATATACGCGTGAAATAACGACGACGACATTAATTAATAATAAAGAATAGAGCTCCAAAGTGAAAAATGCCTTTACTTTCAAACGATGCTTCACTGTTTACCTTAATATTTACAAACATGATTTAGTAACCTCGACGTACATATATAATCTTAAACCTCACGTAAGCAAATTGAGCACTATGTTCTGAACACTACTTATAAACAAAACTCTGGAACTAATTATAGTTCACACTCTTCATGACTGATGCTGGGAAATGTAAATGGTGTCTGCCATTTGTCGGAAGATAGGTGACACAGTAAACTGACCTCTTTCCAGAGACATTTGATAGCATCCATCTGCAGAGTGCGAAGTCTTTTGTCCTGTTCATGCATTTGTCGATTTCTGCAACAAAAGTGCCATGCAGGCAGTGTGAGAAATGGTTGAGAACTTCAGAGCCTTTTGGCAAAATTGCACAAACGATTAATATATTACGCATTGAATACATCAAATAATTGTAATAAGCAAAATGGAAATTTATGTGTAAAAAATATTCTAGTTAGATATTAAATTTTACCTAGAATGTCACTTGTGTTCTTCGATACATTGCTATAAGCATCTGAACCTTACAAGGTATAATCCAAACACAAATAGCATGGAAAGCTTAGCCAACACACCCATGAGATGATTGAGATTTAAATTCAGCAGATGCTAAATTACCTTTTCAGTTCAATTCCCAATGCTTCCACATGGGCCTCCAGTCTCTGACTTCGCAGCTGTTCCTTTATCTGCCGAACGCGTTCATCTAGATGCCTAACCTGATAGCCTTTCCATAACGCCTGGATACGCACCGCTGCTATCTCCTCTTCTTGACTAAGATCCATCTCGGCTTCCGGTGACAAACCGCCGTCCTTGAAATGCTTTACGGGGTATCGTTTCTGCTCGAAAAACATCGTAGCGCTATCGAGACTCTGCGACATCGTCGTTGGCATCTCAGTTGCCTGCATGCAATGCTTGGGCTGTGGGCTGAGCAGCTTGCCTCCAGACGCGATCCTCCTGCCTAGGTTGGACGGCTGCGAGACCGGCTTGGGGTTGCGGTAGACGAACCTGGGGTCGTCGTCGTCGCCCTTGCGTGGCTGCGTCGCAGTGAGCGGGATGCGGCTGGCGCTGAGCGAGCGCGTGCGCGTGTATCCTGCGCGCGTCACGCCGCGTTCGCTCGATTTATCGACCGCCGGCCCGTTGCGGTTGCCGAGTGGCGTCAGCGTCGACGAGCGTCTCCTCGCCGGCGCTTCCTTCTGCGCGACGGACCTCACGGACTTCATCGTCGCCGGCTTCGCGGAGGACGACGCACTAGCGGGAGCGCGGCTCTTGTTCTCCTGTCCGTCCTCGCGGCCGGGGCTGTACTTCTCGGCTCGGTACGGCTGCCGGTAGGCGAGCAGGAACGGCCGCACGCGACCGCCCTCCATCGACTGCCGACCGGTCTTCTTCGCCTTCCGGCTCCTGATCTCCGACGACCTCTCCAGCGAGCCGGCGTCAGAATCGCTCGCGCCGACTCCGAACTTCTGCTGGCTGCTGAGGTGTTTCCTCACTGGCGTGCGGGGCTTGCGCACGTAGAAGTCCGGCCGCTGAGGCGATGAAGTGAGCGGCCTGGTCGGCGACGGCAAGCCGGTGGCAGCCCTGAAGATGTCCTTTCCCAGCGGGCGTATGGGCCGACTTTCGTAAGCCTCGTAGCTGGTGAGCTTGCTCGGCGACACCGCGGCGGCGTGTGGTGACGAGCGAGGCTTCTCATCCTGCATCGCGGCTTTCCTGTCGTCGGTATCACAGCTCATTAGCACGAGGGAAGCTGAGCTCTCGGTGTGCTCAACACTGCGACCGATCTGAATAGAGTAGCCAGCTGACGTCTCCGGCAAAATGAGCAAAGGGTTCTGTGAGAACACTTGCTGGAAGGAGGTCCACGTGTTTCGTAATACCTGCGACGTGGAATGAGGTGGAGGTGGAATGTCCGCCGAGATATCCTTATCCGTTCGTTTCTGAACGTCGGTAGCGTTCTCGACGTCTGGGTCGTCTGCAATTGAAAAACAAGAAGATTATTGCACATGCAAGTTTGAGGAAATATTCTTAGTCTTCATTACACAGTTGCATCAATATAGTATACGTGACTTTTTACGGTACTGTTCATCCTCTCAAACCACTGTGACACTTAGTCATTCATGGTATGATTGTCACATTATTACCGATGTAGCACACGTGAAATGCCTCAACAATGCAGGCATTCACAGGCCAGGTGATCTTTATTAAGGAAGTCATCATTTTAATAATTTACAGAATGTAAAGTACACATCCATTGGTAGGGATATGATTTAGAGAATGCAGAGTATACCTATAAAAAATATATAATATCATTATTAATATGAGATGCAAATATATACACGTCTTGTTCGTTTTCCATCTGGCAATAAAAACATATCATGTGGCAAGCATATTCACTCTAACCATATACAAACAAACATGCGCATGCATGCATGCATGTTGCTCGCATTATATGTGTATATATACATACATGTATCAGCCATTCCACATAAGTGTATATATATAGAGTAGAACTTGTGGTTTGTAGACAGTAGAATGTAACAGTTGTATAAACGGTGACAACTATAGATTTATTATAAACACGGATAGAAACAGTGTACAGTCAGATGTAGCCGACGTCTTTTATCCGTCCGCATCGTCGTCCGACCTATTTACTCGTTTGTGTCGCAGCGTGGGTACAGCGACCGGTCGCGACTACCGTCCGATGGTACCCCCTTAATGATGGCTGTTTGATAAACTCAGCTGCATTCTTGTTGAAGTTAATGTGTTTGTACCATTTTGAAATGCCTTCTGTCTGCATTAATTTATGTCTACTCTTAAGTATGCAGCTAATGTCTTCTGGGCCCATCCCCGGCCGTGCCTGAACAATTGCATGGGTAATGTGCCGAATTCCCCCTCTCTCTTTCTGTTAGCTAAAACACCGTAATACATATACACCAAAGTTGAAAACTGAAGTGAGAGCTAGTAACATGAATTTTTTTTATGAAGAGAAATAATTAAATGGTTTAAATCCAAAATTTCATGTAAATAGGCCTTTTTATTAAAGAATCACGTATTAGTAGCCCGTCACGCAAGTCACGCACAATAGTTTGTGATATCTGAGAAAATATTAGTGTGGCTGCAATAACTTCAATGCTAAAATATGCATAACTGGTACCTTTGCTAAAATAGTTTTTTAAAACAAGTAGCAGCAAGCTAATATAGGACTGCCAGACCATTAAAAGTTAGATTTTTATAGAAATGTCAAGTGAGTCACGGTGGATTGGCTGGTATATGTATATGTATATTATGTATAGCAACATATGCATGAAGTATCTGTATGTGTATGTGTACGTGTATGTGTATGTGTACAATAGTGTATGTGTATGTGTACAATGGTGTATGTGTAAGTCTATGTGTACTTGTACGTGTACGAGTACATGTACATGTATGTGTATCGGCATGTGTATGTGTATGTGCATGCATATGTACATCTACATGTCCATATATACATTATGAATTATACCTTACACATGCTTACCAATAAGGGAAGAGCTTGGGTTGTCACCTCTCAGCACTGCCTGGATAGATGGTGCACCTAGGGACTTTTTAGACAATTGCTGTTGATACTCTCTCTGTTTATTTAGTATATGTTTCAACTTGGCTTCTTTCGCAGGTTCATCCTGCAACCACAAAAAGCCAGACGTCTTGAAAATCAGCTTCTTTAGGAAATTGTAAATCAATTAATAAGGAAAAATAATGTGACAACTCATGATAAACAATTATTTTACAGTAAAACCTCGATCTATAAGACTCAATTATTAGACTGATAAAAAAAAATGACCAAAGGCAAATGTCTCATTTCTATGCATGTCAAGAGCTTAATTCCAATGTCCGAGTCCAATAGAAGAAACGATTAATATTACATTAATTTAATCTATCAATCTTCAATAATCCAATAATCAATATCAACCTCGTACAAAATATACCAAAACATTCTTACGTGGTTGGATGTTACGGGGCATGTACTTGAGAGGTACTCGGTCAACAGCTCATGCTCGCCTGGTACAAAATGCCTCCCTTTGCCCTGACTAAGCAGCCACTCCCCTTTTAGTCTGCAACGATAAAATCAAACCTGCAGATGAAGACTGCATTTTTATCCAGTTTAATTAGAAATTGAGTATTAAGCAAAATCAAGCAAATGGATGAATAAGTTACACTGATGACTGAATGATAGTTAAATGATTTTGAATTTTTGATAATTCAGATATTTCTAATTCCGATAAATGACTACAATTAAGTCATTTTAGTAAATATGTTTGCATATTCAATGTTGCATCGATAACTAGGGATATAAAGGAACTCATTAAGATGAACAATATATACAATATTGCCAGTAACCGGGAGCTGCTATCGTTCACTATTAGCATAAATAACACAACAGAAACATGGCATCGATAATAATTAAATAGTAATTAGTACTAATTACCCTTCACGCTGGCCGATTATAGAGCCATCAAGAATCTTCAAATTCAAACACCAGTTTACGACAAACGGCCGGTAGTCAAAGCAATGCGTTTCACACGTTGCAATCACACAGGGGTTTTTGGCAATCGACAGCTGCTCCAAATTCTTCAACCCGCTCAAGTACGAAATCTGAAAGAAGATGGATCAAGTTATACACTTGAAATGAAATACACAAAATGAGAGTAAACTTAATTGTCAGGTTCAGGTTGAATGCCACCACCTCAAAATATGTTTCCATCTGTGCGTAGCTATGACTGTGTGTGTGCGCGTGCTTCCATGTACACTTCATTGTGGCACTTATAACCCAAATTGTACGCACATACACTATAGCCCCATGCACGGTATTAAGTACACCTTACCGATACCAATCACAGATAGTGAGGGCAGATATATGATAAGTAGTACCATGCAGCCTACCACAAGTAGTACTGCAAATGCCAACAGTAAACACGAAACATACCGCACTCGTACCACGAAGACATCACGGTTGACACATGGCCACAATCATGCAAACAATCAACACCAGCCTTCTCACAACACCTACCTCATTGAGATCATCCAGTTTATTCTCGGCAAGCGACAGAATATTCAATGACTGTGGGAAATACCGCTGTGCCACTTGCATCGAATGTATGCTGTTGTTGTGCAGTAGAAGAGTGTGGAGATGTATGAGAGGGGACAGATCTGAGAGGCCGTCGATGAGGTTGTCCGACACGTCCAAGTGCAGCAGGTTGACATTCTTGTTCAGGTTGTTAAAGCTCTAGAGATGTAAATCACATAGATGTTAAGCCACCGCAACCAAACTGTGGACCCACACGTATATGAGTTATAAGTAAACTAGAAGTAGAAGCTCATTGTGCTGATTCAATTGGCTAAAAGCAATCTCTTTGGCCAACAATTTGATTATGCTGCCTAAGCATTTCTGTTTGGCACACACTTTTAGTGGCCAAGAAATAACACTTGTATCAAGAAAAGGGTGGCAACAGGTATACATGTCAATTACTCACTTCTCAAATGTTCTGTTTGTGTTACGATGAATACTACTTGCAAATGGTAAATGGCTCATAATTTTTTTAAATAAATATTTAAGCACCCACTCACATCATAATTTGGAAGTGATGGTATCCAATAATAATAATAATAATAGCATGAACAGCATGTGATGATGCGCCAACACCTCAAAAGTTCAAGTTGTTTTAAGGTGCATCTAGACATATAGACACCAACCTTGAGTTTGTTCTCCGACAGGTTTAGATACTGAAGGCTCGTTAATTCCTTTAAACCTAAATGGAAGAAACAACGATGTCAACTGCTACATAAATTTATTTGATTACATCGATCATCTCTGAAATAAATTGAGAAATTAATCAATGTTGACAAATTCACTCTCACCCGTCAGCATTCATATTATCGATTACTTCAGCATATAAATGACTGAGTTTGTACTGTTATGAGCTATACAACATTTGAACAGCAAACTTGCAGTTGTATTGAGATTCCTGAAAACGAAATGGAAATGTACCAAAAACAAATGCACATATTTACGTGATGTAAATTTGTCTAAACTTGTACCTACCACAACATAAAAGCAAAGGTAACATATGGGAGCGAAATATAGTACCAGTCGATGATATCTCGCGAGAGCGAGTGTAAACAAATCTAATTTGAAATGCAGATCCGTGCACATATTTGTGACAAGAACGATGTGCGAGTGGGACAAGTGACCTGTGACATGTCAGCCTTACTATACACACTTTGTTATGCAAGGAGCACCGGCCAGTATCAGGACAAGCTAGAAAATATGGGAACCGTTGAAAAAATACATGTGAAATCATTGCTTTAATGGTGCATGTTGTGCATAACATTTGTTAAGAAATTATCACATTATAGGGCTTGCAATTACATACCTTCAATAGCGGTGATATTATTACCAGCCAAATTGAGTACTCTGAGGTTAACAAGTTTTGTCAGGCTGTGTATCCGGTGTAGTTTGTTATTGGCTAGCGACAACTGCAACAAAAAAGCTAACATTACTAAACATTTAATAAATCGATTTGACAGTCAATGCCGTTTTAGGAGCCACCTATGCGCATCCAACCGCTAATTTCTCCAGTACTAGACTAGCAAATACATCGTGTCATGCATAATCACACTACCTTATGACAAAATAAACTCTAGTTCCTCCCATTTCACTGCGCGTTGTTTTATAAAAGGCATTTGAAAATATCTCCAATGTTATTCAAATTCTCAGATGTTGTTGACACTTTCGCGTTGCTCTGCCAAGCAACCGTGGAGCGGTTCTGCAGTACAGCGGTACGAGTGTAGCAACGATAAAAACATGTGACTTCACCTAGAACCGATTCTTGGCGAAATTGTTTGGCAAACAATTTAGCGTTGGCGATCTATAGACGTGTTTTGTAAACAATTTCCCCACGTGTGGCCAATGGGGCAATAATCAGACTCACGCTAAATCGATTGTAAATCATAGAACTATATAGGAAACCTATATGCGTTCCCGAATAATTTTTAATGTTTGTGTTTTACGGAGAGTGTTACATGAATGACATACTAAATGACATCATTTACAGGAATATGATACAGTTTATTCATTTGGATGCTTGTGTGCGATCATTCTAGCATAAGTACAAATGCATCATTTTGGATTGCAGTATTTGCGTAATACACGCGCTAGATCATTATATACTTATAAACTTATATATAATAAAGCAGACACGGTACATTTGACGATATATTTTCTACGATATTATAAGACCGGACTGTCGAAAATTCAATTCTTTGAAAAAAATACACATTACAGTTAGTTCAATCTTGCTTTAACGCACGCACGAACGCACGCGCGTACTACTCTGTCATTTTCCGACACTGAGCCCCGGGCTCGCAGCCAGCCAAGCATCCGCGATCAGTGGAGGGCGTATTGCACGGGTCTCACTTTCATTTCTGTGCTCATGAGTGCCTCGTATTTACCGGGCCAACTGTACCACACGACTCCCACCGTGCTGTCCTCTCCGTAGAGTCCGTTCAGGTTCGAATTTTTGCAGTAGCTGTACCACCAAGCGCCCTTGTTTTCTACAGCGCAATTATCGGTCTCGTGGGTGTCGTTGTCCCGGTCCGGAGTGCTGAAGTTCATCCCGTTATGAGCAGATATCATCGAGTCGCCTGAAAAAGATGAAAAGCGTGTGAGGCGGGAGAGGTAATGTGGGCGACGTAGAGCGCATGATTGCAAATTGAGAGAGAAAGCGAGAGGGAGGGGGAGAAATAGATAGATAGAGTGTGATAGAGAGCGAGAGAGAGAGAGAGAGAGAGCGAGAGGAGAGTGCTATGCATACAACAATATTATGCGTATAACAATGTATACATTGTTCTACATGCAACAATATATACATATACATATAACAATGTTCATATTGTTATGCATGGAACAATATATACATATACACATAACAATGTATATATTGTTCTCGCAGACGCGAACGAGCGTTTACCCGCAGTGCCGTGGTACATGCCGACGTTGATCTTGTACAGCGCCCTCTCTGAAGCGATGCTGAAAACATCGTACGTGGCGTAGCGCGTCTCACCCGTGAATCTTCTCAGATCGATTCGTAGCTGCATCGGTACGGGGGTGGTGAGAGCGCTCAGTCGGTCGTTGCCTGCATGAGAGTGAGAGAGAGAGACGTTGTTATCTGCATGAGAGTGAGAGAGAGACGTCGTTACGACGCATGCGCAATCGCCACACTCGGTGAAATTGCGCCAGCGACAAACTTAAATTGAATTCGGCGTATTTTACTTTTATATACCCGGGTGCATGTCGGGAGAATTAGATTCAACGCCGGGTTCAAAACCGTTTATTTGTAGTGTAGCGACAACTCTGAGGTTGCTATATCGAATTTTCGCTTGCCACACGTCGCTCACGCACGGGGTTGAGACGCACGCACGCACGCACGCACACACGCACGCTCTTACGCTCGCACGCACGCCCGCCCGCATGCATGCACGCACGCACCTAGCCACAAGATGTGTAAGTATACCAAGTTTGGTAGCGCTAGGTCAAGTAGGGGCCGAGTTAGAGAGCGGAAGGGAAATATGGTCAAGGTTAAGGTAAAGGTCAAATAAAGGTCGCAGTGACCTGGTTTTGGTACGCTGCTCACCTTCTCCCCAAGATGTGTTAGTATACCAAGTTTGGTAGTGCTAGGTCAATTAGGGGTCGAGTTATAGAGCAGAAGGGAAATTGTCTGCGGCGGCGGCGGGGGAGACATGAAACTATAGTATCCCTGCCGACTTCGTCGCGGGGGATACAATAACTCTGTTACCTAACTTTAGCGTTTTCATAAATCTTTACATACACTTAGGAATATTTGTTTACGTTACATTTCTTAGTTTCATTAGTCTCAAGGCAACTCATCTCATGACATATATATCACACCCCAGTAATAATTAGTATTGGGAATAAATAATCCTGGAAAGATGAAGATAGGGGAGGGAGAAAGAGGAGTAGGAAGAAGATAAAATGGGGAAGAGGGGAGAAGGTAGTGGAGGAAGAAGGGGAGGGATAAGATGTAAGAGGGGAGAGGAAGGTGTAGGGAAGGAGAGGCAAGTGTGGTTGAATGAGAGGACATGATGGAAAATGGACGAAGGGAAGAACGGACAATGAAGAGAGGGAGTTGGATCAATGATGGCGAAGAAAGAAGGGGCACAACATGGACGTGGGATATAGTGAAGGTGGTGGAAGGGGAACAAATCCAATAGGTTGAAGGTGGTTGTGAAGGAAGGTGCACAGGTAGAAAGAATTAATGTGTACAAACAAGGATGGGGATAAGGTGGAATTGGGAAGAGATAAGGGTAAAGCAGGTGTATGAGGAAGGAGATGAGAAAGTGAATGAGCGAGGGAAGTATGACAAGAATGAGGAATGAGCAGGAGATAGAGTATGGTGGAGAGGAGATAGTGAATGAGGAAGGTAAGAGAGAGAAGGTGAAGGGAGAGAAGAGGTAGGTGCATTAGGTAAGATGGGAGATGGGGTAGGAAGATATCAGTCACGCTCCTGGTGAATGGTGCTCAAATCAAAACCCACTTTGAAAATACCCCTACTGAAGCTATCCACTCAGTTTAGTTATATTAAGGACAAATTAAATCCTCTGCCCTAACCTTAAATAGTTGTGATAAATAGCTGTAAGCCTCTAACTCCCACATTATTAGCTCTACTCCCATTAATCCTTCTGTCCATAATAAATCTTTCTCCTGCATCACTTCCATAACAATTAAATATAATTGTACACCAAGTTCCACTGCTATACAATCGTTGGCAATCTAGCCATCTTGCTCTCGAGTTCAACCCTTGACCCTATAATTTTTCTTAAGAAATACCTCCTAAATCTCTACAGTATTAGTTTTACAAATTTAGCCAGCGACCAATATCCATGCGTACGAGGTTATGCTTTATTGAATTAGCTTATTAACCCTAGATCAAATGGTCCAAATATAGCAACCCAGATTAAACCATAAACTATAATATATGACCAATATATACATGTATATATCAGGAGTGTATCAATAGGAGTGAGACAGACTGAAACCGGCAAAATTCAACATTTAGTAGCCTTAGTCTACCTATGATTTATTGTGTTTACCTCGATAAACTTGAGCTCAAGTCTTGCCTTAATCATTAAAACTTTATCCGTGTTCTAATCTTGGTCTCGACAAAAATGACAATTCGGGAGATATCGGTCCAAGACGTACAATGCTGGCTTTTAGAAAGTTTATACCGTTGAAATCAACAACTGTGAACCGAAACATAAGGGCAATGCTTTTGAAAGCCCTCTATCGCTTAGCAATGCAAACATAGCAAAGACTAGCGAGGTTTGCTAGGGATTTCGGAAAAGTTAACACACGACTTGGTGTTATTGATACTATTTACATATAGAAATAAAAAATTTCACATGTTTTAGTATTTTATCCATTTTATTTGTTCTTAACAATATTGTTCATACATGTAATTACTGTCATTCGACCATGGCCCTATAATAACAACAAGGCGTGTTTAACTTTCCGAAATCCCTAGCAAACGCTCGCTAGTTTCTTTGCTATGTTTGCATTCGCTAAGCGATAGAGGGCTTTCAAAAGCATTGCCGCTTATGTTTCGTTCAGCAGTTGTTGATTTCACGCGTATAACTTTCTAAAACACATTGTACGTTGTGGACGGATATCTCCCGATTTGTCATTTTTTGTGAGAACCAACGATTAGACCGGATAAAGTTTTAATGATTAAGGCAAGACTTGAGCTCAAGTTTATCGAGGTAACCACAATAAATCATAGTAGACTAAGGCTACTAAATGTTGAATTTTGCCGGTTTCAGTCTTTCTCACTCCTATTGATACACTCCTGTATATATGTATATATATGTTATTAAAGTTGGGACACCTCCTAATGGAGTATCACCCCACATTATGCCACATATGCGAAAACATATTTCGGGGGTCCAAACTATCCTTTGATCCGGTCAAAGTCTAGATACAATAATGTAACCCAACAAGAGTAGGGTTACAATGCGTACTATGGTTTTCTGTGGAAGGCGCCCTGAGTAATTCACTCAGGGCGGTTTTATGGTTCGTTTTTCGAGACTACAACTTTCAAACTGGGTTATTCTAAACACGAACCCTTCTCCGCTATCCGGGGACTTAGCTATGTAATCTACAATACTTCGATGCTGTATTAAACTAAATATACACCTGTTACAAAAATTCGAAGTGACGAGCGGCGAATATACTGAGCGGCCATTTCTGTTGACCTGTGAGTACTTCAGTTTGAAGAGCGGATTCACCGACCAATCGGAGGGCGCTGCGTTGCCGATCGCATTGGAATGTGTACGTCACAGGTCAACAGAAATGGCGCTCAGTATATTCGCCGCTCGTACACTTCGATTTTTGTAACAGGTTATATTAGTTTTAATACAGAGTATTGTGATACATAGTGAGTTCCAAAGATAGCGGAGAAAGGTTCGTGTTGAGAATAAACCCAGTTTGGAAGTTCTAGTCTTTGAAACCGCACCAGCAAACCGCCCTGAGTGATTCACTCAAGGGGTTCCTCCACACAAAAGGATAGGGATGCGTTGTAACCCTACTCTGTTGGGTTACATTATTGTATCTAGTCAAAGTCGGACTCCTAATTTAGAGGTGGGTGCAGCAGTTTTCATCTGGCAAGTCACGTGCGCAAGTGGCACGATCCAAGATACGCCACATTTAAAAGTGTGGAGATCCCTATCTAAGGTAGTTACACATGTTAAAAAGCCTCACGCACACTCTTGCAATAAATTAGAAATTAAATACATATGATTTATGATTATGATTATAATCACTTCGCGGTAAGCCAGCGTATTCTATTCCAGGGCGTGAAGCAGGGCGTGAGAAGATCGTGAGAGAGGTCAGAAGCTAATGTAGTTTGCAAAATTTTACATTGATACCGATCATTTCATTCAACACACACTAAACAAAATAGCCGATGTAGTACTTTTCAAACGAAAACAAATTACATTTACCTTCTTCTGCCATATTAAACAATTGGCACGCAGCTATAGAATGCACCGGTTACTTGCTCGTCCTCGGTAAGTTCAAGTTGCTTTTGGTGCCAACCAACGATAACCAATTATGACCATAATTTTACTATTAGTCTTGAATTTCCAAGGAACTGTTTTGAAGGACGATAGAGAAAGCTCATGAAATATACTGCCGATGATAAATCGAACCAGTTGAAGTGATAGTTGACGCGATTGCCGACAAAAAAAGTTTATTCATTGATAGCAAGCCCGTAACTGGCGCGGTGTGGTTGCGGTCTGATATTCGTACCGATTTCGACAAGCGTAGTTGTTATCTTGCTTTGTTTACGTTAAAAAGTTTAGCACGTTGAAGAGCAGAAAGTGCGTTGACGTAGGCCTACATTACTTCTTCAAGTTCTTGATTGCAAGCGTTCTTTTCAGGAAGTATGCGAAAGAGCACAGGCACCAAGCACCATCTTATGTCGTTATGTTTTGGCATTTTGTCCACGTGTGGAGAAACAAGATAACTTATCTGAAAAGAGGTGAATCTTCTTCGCAAGGACGGACCGCTATGGCCACGGAAAGACAATGCGATGGCGAGAAGGAAAGTCAAAGATCAAGATGGGTACATATGGTGTTGCCGTAATCGACACGATGGCCGACGTCGAGTATCCATTCGTAATAGCAGTTTCTTCGAGAAGAGTGCCGTCTGCCTTAAAAGAGGCATACTAGCCCTATCATCTAATATGTTTGCAATGGATTTTACAAATAAAGCATGTAAGATCCTTCAATGCCAAGACCGGGCAAGGACGGCGGTGACGGAGTGGTTCAAGCTGCCGCGATGTCTGCACTGAAACGGCCTCCAGCTGAGATCCGGTAGTTTCTTTACAGTTGACTATTTTGCTACCGAATGAACAAAACCTTCTCGAAATGGACGATATTTGGCAACAGACAGTCGTTGAAGGCTTATGAGTTCGGCAAAGGGAAGAGATCAAGCGCATGAAACGGCGGTCAACGAAAGACTATGTTTACCAATCCTGTGTTGGATGATATTTATGTATTCGCATAAAATGTAGGAGCAAGGG